GGAGGGAGGGAGGGGCAGTGCTGAGTTGCATTTTCTCTGGCTGTCCCTACTATGCCTGGAGTGCTCTCCCTCTTCATCTGTACCTACAGAGGAGACCTTCCAGGCTTCCTTCAAGTCCCAACTAAAACCGCTCCTTCTGTAAGAAGCCTTACTCAACACCCCTATTAATTCTAGTGCCTTTCCTCTTTTAATTAATTACTATTTTTCCTGTATGTAGCTTGTTTGTAGGTATTTGTTGGCTCCCGAACCAGTTTGAGAGCTCTTTGAAGACTGGGACAGTCTTTTACCTCTCTTGGTAACCCCAGCACTAAGCACAGTGCCTAGCCCATAACAGGTCCTTAATAAAAATTTATTATTGACTGACTAAATCCCCTTGAAATTATCTTGCAGCTAGAAAGCTAAGATAATTTTCAAACTTCAAAGAAACAACCAGCAAAACAATCACAAAGTGAACCATAGGGTCATATTTAAAACATCTATTTTATCATAAAACATATTTGCTCAAGTTAGATTATGGAGTATTTATGTTCAAAGAAGGATGATAATAAATGGTATTTTAATTGTTTTCCAGTTATATGTGTGTGCTTTTCAAAGCTTCAAAGGGTCATCATCTTCACCCAATATAATGGACACAGTATGAAACTCAGGAGATTTGTACCTAAACTGCTGTGTTTTTCACCATTCTAATGTACTTATGACCCTGAACAAAATACCAGAATGAGAGCTGCCTTCTTGGTCAATAAAATGGAATATAACAGATCTCTCTAGCAAGCTTTTCATAGGAAAAGTGAAAAGTTCTATACAATACTAAGTATACCTTAGAATGAATACATTATAAAATTTCCATTTACAGCAATTAACAACAAAAATCAGAAACAATATTGGGGAGGTCACTTAAATATTTGAGGATGGGGGATTTTATTTTGGTCTTGAGTTAAAACAGATTTTGAGTGAGAAGAGCCAAGTTCAAATTTGAGCTGTGCCACTTAGTAGCAGTATGACCCTCAGGCAAGAACCTCTCTGGGGCTCTGTTCTTTCATCTGCAAAAAGAAGTTACATTAGATAATTTCTCAAGTCCCTTACAGCTCTAAACCCTATGATACTACATGGTTTCATTAAGTAAATAACTAGGAAAAGTTTTTTTCTAACTTCTAACTGTCACTTATGGCCAATATAAACTTCAGCAACTAACATGTAACATTAATCAAAAAGGTGGCCATTTCAGCTTGATTTTTTAAAGACAAATTTCAAATAAAGTTGACACAGATTAGTAGTTAAGTATGGTATACCTTACAAGCAAATAAAACCAAGAGAAGATCAACTATTCAAAGGAAAGCCACAGTTATTTACATCTTAACCAAACAAAAATTTTTAAGTCTTCAGTATAGCTCTGTCTTGGTAGAAATACATTCCAGGAAGCCTTGTATCTATACACATCATAAAACAAGGATAAAGTAATTCAAGTTACATGTTATATATAAGTATACAAATATTGGAGGGAGAAGGAAAGGAAGACCGTTACTGAAGAATATATGAAACAGTTTGAGGTCCTGTTGTATCACATTTTGAAATTAAGTTGATTGGTAAGAATGAGACTCAAGGAAGGGACTGGCAACAGTATGGAAACTGATCACACTCACAGTGACTTCTCAAAGAAAAATGAACTTCTTTCTGCTGTCTTACTGCCACTTAAAAGTACCCATGCAAAGTTCACCTCAAACTTGCTGCCTTTAAAAGTTAAAGAAAACTTTTTAAATGGCATCATAAAGTTACATCCTAATAGAAATCCCTCAACAAAGCTGAAACCAAAGGACAAAGATCTTGCACAAAGGAAAAATAAGGTCACTTTATTTTAACTTCTTAAGTTTACCCCACTTCTTAATTACGAAAAACACATACTGACAGTTCTGCTTGTCACAAACTTTTTACAGTGTCGTTATGAAATTTCCAAATTACACTTCAGAACTACTTTGGAACCCTAAAGCACTTAGGAGTTACAAAGCAACACATTCTTGGGGAGAAAACATCTTCCCACACACATTTCAACCGGACGCGGCCAGCGTGATCACCTCCTTCCCATTCAACAACTCCACTAAGACGGCGATGCGACACCACTGCCCAGCTGCCAGGATAACGAAGAAAATTACTGGGTTCCACTTCCGCCAACAGAACCAGTCGGGCAGAAATTCCCGATCCGTCTGTCCCTGGATGCGCGACACCATTTCGAGCCTCGGCAGAAGCGCGGGGTTCCCCCGTCCTCGGAGGCAGCAGCCGCCGAGCACCAGCGGCGGGCCCTAATTAGAGCCCCCCACCCCCACCCCGCTCAGAGGCGTCCGCAGCTGGAGGACCCCCTCCCCCCGCCCAAGCCCTCCCAGGACTCAAGGACCAGAACGTTACATGAGCTCCCGAAGCGCTGCGCTCCGCCGGCCAGGGCCAGGGGGCCGGGCACTCAACTTCTCGGAGGGGCGGACGGGAAGCGCCCGAGGGGAGGGGAGGGGAGGGCACGGCCCGCCGCACTGCAGGTCTGGGAGAAGCTGACACAGCGCGGACTCGGCCGGCCGCCGCCCCCGGGGGCCCGGAGGGAGAGCGCCCCGGAACGTCGGCGGCCACATGGCTTCCCGGCCCCGGGGGTTCCCGGGGGCTGGAACCATGGTTAGGGCCCAAACACAGACGCACTCCGGGGGGGTCCGGTTCCCCGCGACTCGGTACTCCCGGGGATGCAGGGAAAGTCGGGGATCCGGGTGCGAGGGTCGCGGAGTACTAGCGGGGGAGTGTGGTGAAGGGGCAGGGGCCGCCGCACGCCCCTGGGCCCGGCCCCGGGGGACCCGTTCACCCAAGGGAACCGCCCGCAAAACCAAGCAGCCGGCCCGACCGGGGCCCAGAGAGCAGCCTCCGGCGGGAAGATGGCGGCTCCGGTGACAGGAGCGAGACGGGCGGCGGCGGGTCCGAGCTAGAGGAGGGCAGGTCCCCACCCTGGCCCCGGGGGCTCCCGGCCCACCCCACCCCCCCGCCCGGCCCCGGGGCAGCCCCGACAGAAGGAGGAGACATACGCGAACTCCCGCGTCGGAAAGGAGAGAGCGCCGAAAAGCTCTCGGGCTCGGCTCTCACCTGTCACAGCCGCCGCCGCTCCAGCTCCGGATCCGGCTCGGGCTGCTACTGCCGCCGCCGCCGCCGCCGCCGCCGCTGCTCCTGCGAATACCGCCGCCGCCGCCCGACCCCGGCCACGGGCGCCTCCGCCGCAGCCCCGGCTGCTCCCAGCGACCGCACCACACGCGGGGACCCGGTTGGGGGGAGGAGAGGGGAAGGGAAGGGGGAAGGAAGAGGCGGAGCGGGCGGGCGCCGGGAAGGAGGGGGAGGGTGGGGTGGGGAGCGGCGCGGGCTGGGCGGCTGCAGCGGCGGCGGCGGCGACAGCGGACGCTTCCCCTTTCAGGCCCGAAAATGTCTCAACCTCGAGACTCCAAATCTCCAACGCTCCTTCCCGTTCGCATGAGAACCCACAGCCCCCCACTTCCGGGACCCGGGCGGAAGTCCCTCCCACTTTCCCTTCCCCACTCCTCCTTTCGAATTTACCCACCCAGACCCAGAGACTGGCGGTCTCGGAAGCCGGGAGAGCCTCACGTCAAGCGCGAGGCGGCTCGCCCATTGGAGGACCTGCTCTCCCTCCCTTCCCCGCCCCCTCCCCACAGCCGAGTCCATTCTGGTACTCCGCGCGCACCCCCAGGCCGGCGCTTCTGATTGGAGCAGGTCCGCATGCCGCCGACGAGCGGCCCCTAAGGCTAGCGGCGAATTAGTTGCTGAGTCCCACCCCGTCCCCCCACCGGGGCTGATCTGCTTTCCACTAGCCGCGCCTCCCCTCCCCCGCACCGTCCTCTCCGCGCGTCTGCTGGCGCGGCGCGCACGTGGCGGCTGGTAGCCACTCTAGGCTCTCGTAGCGACCGTTGCGGGGGCTGGAAGGCTTCGGCGGCGACGGCGATGGCTGCAGCTGCGGCTGGGAGGGAAACTTCCTCCGGTGACGGCTGGCCCCGTTTCTTAGGAAAAGAGGAAGCCGGCGTCATGGGCAACCCCAAGTTCGAGACCACCCTAGCGGCCGACCGGAAACAGAAAGCGCTGGCCCCGGTGGTTTCCCCCGCGGTCTCGACACGTTTAAAAACTCTTGAAGTAGCGGGGCGGACTCCGCGTGCTGGCCCGGCTGGTCCGGACACAATCTGTGCCCCCTGGATCGGCCAGCAGGGCTGGGGGCCCCGAAGACGGGAGAGGCAGCCGAAGAAGACGGCAGCTCTTCTGGACCCCTGCCAGGCCGCTTTTCACCGAGGAGGAGCCGGGAAGCGTACGCACCCCGGCGGGGGAGGGGGTCTGCAGCCGGCCAGAAGTCCTGTGGAGGCAACCTGGGGCGGCCCTGGGGGAAACGCGTTTTCTATGGCCCAAGCGCTCGGCCCTGGCTTGGCCCCTTTGCGGTTTGCGCAGCCCAGCCAATTTGTTCCTGGTTCCTAAGCGTGGTTGCTTTGCACGCTGAGGAGGTTCCAGGGTAAAGAATTGTCCTCTCTGAGGTCTGACCGCTCGGTTACCTAGGATTCCTTTGCAAGTGAGCGGACATGCATTCCTTCTTTCGGCCACCCAGCCACGGCTTAGTTTTTTGCGACTCAAGTAGACCCCAGAAACAATTAGGCCCTCATCTCTTAATGCCTGCGAAATCTGTAGGCCAGTCTGCTGATAAAATAATTCCCTTTATACAGCCATATAATCTCTCTCCATCTTGTTAATCCAGTATTTCTGAACCAGGTTGTGAATCGGAAGAGACTGAGAAGTTGGAAGGGAATTACATAGAATGCTGTTGGGCTCAGAACAGCTGTTTGCTATTGACTCTATAAGCAGTTCTTTAAAACTATGCCTATTATTCTCCCTCGATAACCCTTTTATACTGAATTGTCAGTTCCTGCTTATCCCTCTGCCCTGGACCTAAACACCTCATTGCCTCTCTGCCTCTCCAGACCCCCAGTTACCTGTTCCCAAAAGAAAGTTGTCATATGGCTCTTCCCTTCCCAAGAAGCCGAGGAGTCTGCCACAATTTCTTCCGTTTTGGAGCAGTAATGTGATACAAGGGGTGGAGCACTCTAAACTCACCTAAAATGAAAAAGTTAGAGACTCGCTCTAGGGAATTCGAACACATCTTCAGCGGAGTCCCCTTGCTCTCAAACACAGCATATCCAATGGTTTTCCAGAGAAGCAAAATTTCTTAAAAAGGCAAGTATGTTCGGTTTCCTAGTTTAGGCTTTACACCTGGTTTCCTTATTGTTCGTTGCAGTATTTTTATGGAGCAGTCTAAGGACTTGAGACATACAGTTTTAGACCGTGGCAGTGGAAAGGATTTTACGAACCGTCTAATTCATCCTTATTTTACAGTTAAGGAAACTGAAGCCTAGAGAGGTGAAGGGCTCCGGATCAGCTACGGCTTCCGTCCACCAATCTTTTTATGACACTAAGGCGTTCTACAAAAAAGTTTGTTCCCTCTGAAAAAAAACTAGATCTCGAAGATTCCTTTTCAACCACACTTGTGAATCTTCGGAATACAGTTCTGAAACCCCTATTTCACATTTTAACAATCCTACTAATCCTTAGAAGATAAAGCTTTTAGACCTTGTCCTTGGGCTTGCTCGAGCGCTTGTTGAATTGAACTGTGTAAAGGGTCACCGTTGTAATCATCACAGGCCTTGGCCAAAAAAAATTTAGATTAAGTTATGCATTCCTTTTGATTCTTTTCAACTATAAAGAGTAGTCTTGATTTTGATAACTGTTAGAAGAGGAAAAGCATATTCACAAAAATAACATTACTAGACGGCAATGATGAAGGATTGAAACTTCTGAAAAGAGTTTGCCAGTCTTACTGCCCTGCCCAAGTGTCCCTGCTTTGGTTGCCTCTACTTTTAGCCTGTCAAATTGTAAACCAGGGCAAACTACCTGATAGCTTACTCTTTATACAAAACTCTGTGTATTGATACTGTTAAAATTTCAGCTTCAGGTCCTAAACAGGTAAATTTTTTAACCTTTTTATCTTCTACAAAGGCATTACTACAGAGGAGTTAATGGGCAGGTGAGTGGTCAAAAGGCAAGTCTAGTCATCCAACTAACGAGTAGTTTTTCAGATAGGTATTACCTCTTTCAAAAAATTTTAAAACACAAATAATCAAGACCAAAGTATTAAAATATTTTTTGTTTCCTAAGAACACAATACTAACTACACAATAAATACACTGTCACGTCCTGCACAGAGAGATGGGGTCAGTGGTATATTTTTAGCATCAGGCTTTTCTTTGTAGGAGTGCTTTGACAATATTGCTACCACCCAGAACTTTCTCTGATAAGAGGTACATTATTTTCTCTTCCCTAACATCTCCCATGTTTATATTGCATTTTCTCTCTTGCCTTATCCCATACCTTGGGAAATTCATTGGGAGGGCATTATCCCCATTACTCAGAAATTTTTGCTGGCAGAACTAGTCAATGGTCAAAAAACATTAAGTGCCTACTAGGTACTAGACACTGTGCTAAGCACTGGAGATTCAAAAATAAAAAAAGACAGTCTGCCCTCAAGAAGCATGCAATCTAATAGAATACAACACACAAAAGGAAGCTGAAAGAGGGGATGAGAAGGTACCCAACATGGGGCATGGTAGCAAAGTCCCAAGGTAATGCAGCCTGGTGAGAAAGAAGAGTGAAGCGAAGTCTCTCCTTACCATGAGATTTCAAATTCATGGCCCCACCCCTACACTCAGAGAGGCAGCAAAGCGGCTCTGGTTTCGACAAGTAACTCACTGTGTTAGAATTACGTAGAGATATACTAACTGTAGTGACAGGCTTCATCACAATTCAAGATTAAAAAAAATTACTTGCATTTATGTATCATTGTATACCTTTCACATACCTTTATAACTATTATTTTAGTAATGTATGTTTTGCAAGGACCTAAGCATAGAGTTGATTTGGCATAGGAACCAGGCAATCCCTGAACATAGGAGGAAATCGGCTTCTTTTGAGGTAATGGGATGTATCATTTGAAGCAAGGGAGAGTCTCCTTTAAGGACCTACTGTGATGTCTCATGGGGGCAGCTAGGTGACCCAATGGACAAGGTGCCCCACCTGGAGTCAGGAAGATTCATCTTCCCAGTGTCCAAATCTGGCCTTAGACACAAGCTTTGTGACCCTAGGGAAAGCACCTCAGTTTCCTCATCTGGAAAATAGAATTGGAGAAGGAAATGGCAAATCACTCCATTACCTTTGTCAAGAAAACCCCAAATGAGACCTCAAAGAGTTGAGCACAACAACGAAGGCAATTGAACAACTATAATGTCTCTTAAGATGGTGTGACAGTGACCCTGGAATCTCCAAGGCTAAACTACAGACCACAGACTTCCAAACCTGGCAAAGTTTCATATATCCACCTAATGATGTCTGTTGTTGGAGCACCAACCTAGTTAAATTCAAGGCTAATCATCAAATTTGCCCTGTGGCCAATCACTATTAGAATTTATAAATCATGGATTTTTTTTACTACATTTCTTTTACTACATTTCATTTTACTACATTTCTTTAAGACAATCCACTAAGGCATAGTGGAATTGGAATCTTCTTTGGTGGAAAAATACCCAAACCTGTGAAATTGTAGATTTCACACTGAAGAATTGTAGATGAAATGTAAGAAAATACAACATAAATAGGAAGGTGATTTTGGATCTAGTGAAATCAAACACAAAATATGTTAGAACAAATGAGATACTACACTACATATTGTAGAATCTCATCACAGAAACTTATGCAAATATTTAACCTTTTACTTTTAGTATTACAGAGTGTCATTTGTACAGTTACATGTTTCTGGGTCTCTTTTTGCCCCAGTTCATTTTCTGTGATATAATGTTACAGAGTAGGAATTATTCTAGTAGTGACTATTTTGGTATTATACTGTATGTGCGTGTTGTAACATATAATCATTAAGACACCCCATTTAGATCTCTTCTAATATTAAAATCAAGTCAAACAGTTCATTTCAGTACAGGTACCTATGTGCCTAGCACTGTTTTTCAGAGCTTCTTCAAAATGAAGTTAAAACAGCTGTTTTTACCTTATGGAGAGGAGTAAAGTGGATGGTTTTTATCGCATTAGGCATTGGACCCAAATCATCCTTAACAACAGACCAAGGCCATAGAGTGTGGTTAAACAATATCAAAACTACATAGTATTGGGGCAGCTAGGTGGTACAGTGGATAGAGCACTAGCCTTAAGTCAGGAGGACCTGAGTTCAAATGCAGCCTCAGACACATAACACTTACTAGCTGTGTGATTCTAGGCAAGTCACTTAACCCCAATTGCCTCATATAAAAAAAAAAACAAACTACATAGTATGCCCCAAAAGTCCTACTGCAGTTTTAAGACTAGTGTTAAACTACATAAGAACTTTTAGAACACCCTGTATTGGGTGAAGCTCTCATACTGTTAGGTTTAATAGCTAAAAAAAAATACATATATGAACAGTATGTTAATTATATATTCTGTGACAACACCTAGAATGGCTAACAAAGGGAAGGGGTTTAGGTTGTAAATCATATACTTATAGAAATTGTCTAGTCCAGCCCTCTCAGGTGACGAAAACAGGTGGAGAGATGAAAAGTATGTTGCCCGTGGTAACTCAGATTGTAGCCCTCAAAGCAGGGTTGTAAATCCAAGTATGATGACACACATTCCAATATACCATTGCTGTTGCTCCCACTACACAATCCTGTATTGAAAAACCGTCATGCCTTTCCTTTCAAAAGGGAGATAAATTCAGAGCCAAGTTCAAGTCATTTAAGGAATAGAGAATGTAGTTCACCAGGGGTGAAAAGCAACAGAAGAAAGAGGCCTCAGAAAAACCAGAGGAACAAGGCAGTTAGAGTAAATCCATCTTTAGCCCCACCCCGAGAAGCTGTTAACTCCTGGGTCACCCGCAATAGACCAGCAAATGAAATTATTCCATTTTGTATTACACATTATGACACCTATAGAAATGAGATAATTTAGAGGTGAAGTCATTGGAAGCCTTCCCCAAGGAGGCTTTGTTTTTAAAGGTACAGAAAGATTCCTTTCTCTTTGGCTTCTCAGCTACTACTTTCTCCATTCATTTCTTTACTCTCTCAGATTTATGGTGACAGCACTAAAGTAAGTTCAAACCAAGGTATAGACTTTACCTAGGGACCTGAAGAACTTGCCATTATCATTTACCTGCCTCTTAAGTGTCTAGGTGAATTATATATTTTACCGAGTGTTTTATTTGGCACCAAAGGTACAGAAGATAATATTAAGAACATAAACAATTCAGTATAAGCTCTGTTAACTCAGAACAGAACAACAAAACAGTCAAACACCAGACAGACTAACCTGATTTAGTAATCAAGGATAAAATAGCTCATTTTAAGCAAATAACAAGGAACCTATTAGGCCAAGAAAGGGAGACACAAATAACAATGGGCCTTTGTTGTACACATTAGCTATAGCCACAATCAAAGAACTGGCTACTTATATATTACATGACAGGAGAAAAGTATTAATGAAAGTATTATAATGACCTTTTCAGCCACGCTAATGCTTATGGAGGCTAACAGCATTTGCAATGTCATCTTTAAATGTGATCATAGCAAATATTAGACATGTATTACCCATCTATTCATAGTTTATCCATAGAGTGTTTTCAGTATCCATATTATTTTCAATAACCATTCCTTAGCAACAAATCTTATTTCAGGATTGCTGACTAACTCTCTGTACAGCATATCCAAAACATTTTTGAGTGATAGTTAATGATGCTTTACACCAAATCTTTGTGAGTCTGTTCTGGTCATTTAAAATTAGAAGTAAGACGGCAAGCATGTTGGCAGAAATATTTACATTTGTTTTTAAAATTGTCTTGAATCCCTGAAATGCTATAGAAATGGGATTATATAATTATGTTACATGTATGAAGAGTTTAAAAACAACCTGAGGATCTAGAAATGTACTATATTAATAAGCTAAGACTTTTAGGATTTAATGACATAGGCTTGAAAACAGACTGAATTCTTGGATGGGAAAAGATGAGAGCTTAACATAGTGATGGCACTGTTACTGGTGTCACAGTAGGATGGAGCTCTAGGAATAGAGTCAAGAAGACCTAAGTTCAATTATGGCCTTAGAAATTTACTAGCTTTGTGACCCTGAGGAAGTCACTTAACCTTTATTTGCCTCAATTTCCTCAACTTGGCCCACACTAATATCTCCAGGAGAAGCATTATAGTGAGAACTGGTCTTGGAGTGAGCAAAACCTAGACTCAAGCCTTGTCTTTGACATGTACTATCAATCAAAAAGCATTAAACACCTACAATTTGCACTCTTCTAAGCATTTAGGACATGAGGACAACAATCAAATAGTCACTGCCTTCCAGGAGCTTACCCAACAAGCTTATCAGAAAAAAAAAAAACCAAAAAACTAGGCAATTTAGGGACCAGGTGCTAGCAATCAGGACTGATTGATCAGGAAACACTTCATGAACTAAGTGGATCTCCCTGGGCTTTGAGGGAACCTAGGGATTCTGGAAGGTGGATCCAGAGAGGGAGTACACTCCATGCACTGGGCACGAAGGTAGAAAGGGAATATTGTGAGAAGCCATACGAAAGCTCTATCGGCAGAACTATAGAGCATGTGAAGGGTAGTAATGTATAATAAGCCTGGAAATCTGGGAGGAATTGTACAGGACTCTGTCAAAGGATTCTGTCATTAGAGGAGTTTGCATTTGATCCTGGAGGTGTAGGGAGCTACTGTGTTTATTGAGCAGAAGAAAGGAATGATATAGCGTAGGAATATCACTTTGGCTGCTCTGTGGAAGATGAATTGGGGAGGGAAGAAACTTTGAGGCAGAAGCCAGTCGGGCTATTACAGTAGTCAAGCATAGAGGTCAAGTGGTGAATTTTACCTGACCTAGGGTGGTGGTATGTGAGTGGATAGGAGGGGATAGTTGTGAGATATTATTGTGATAGTATAGATAGAATTGAGCAACTTATTGTATGTGTGGGGGGAGGGAGAATTAATTGAGGATTACTCCAAGATTATGACCATGAGTGACTAGAAGGCTGATTGTGCCCCCATAAGAAACAGATGTTTGGAAGAGAGTAGTTGCAGTAAGGAGGAAGAGGGAAACAATGAGTTCCTTTTTGGAAATGTTGCTTTTGATATAATAACGGATTACCCATTTGAAAAAGTCCAAAAGATAGTTGGTGATACAGAACTAGAGTTCAGTAGAAAAACTAGGACTGGATGTATAGATCTGGGAGTCATCTGCCTAGAGCTGGTCATTGAACTTTTGAGAGAGAGAGAATTTGAAGAGGACCCAATACAAATCTTTTGGGTGTACCTACAGTTTGGGGTTGAGGAGGTATTGAGAAAGAGCAGCCAGACAGATAAAAGGAGAACCAAGAGAGGCTGTCTTAAAAACTGACAGGGAAAAGAATATTTAGAAGGTTAAATGTGGTCAGAGAAGTCAAGAAAGATGAGGATCAAAAAAAGGACGCTGGATTTAGCAAATTATTGCTAACTTTGAAGGAGCAGCTTCATTTAAGTGTTGAGTTACAGAAGATTTAACAAGTGAATGAAAGAGGAAACTGAAGCAAGGAGACTGATCACCCTTTTCTAGGAGTTTGGCTGTGAAAGAGAGAAGAGATACATGACTTAAGGGAACGATAGATTCAAGTGAGGGTTGTATTTTTTTGGATTTTGTTTTTTGGTTTTGGTTTTAAAGGACAGGGGAGACTTTGGCCTGTTTGTAGACAGAAGGAAAGGAGCCAGTATATAAGAAAAGACTGAAGTTAGAGAAAGGAGATGATTACAAGGACGATCTGCCAGAATAAAAAGGGTTAAAAGTAGAGGAGTTAGCCTTGGTGTGAAAGAGACCAGAGTAAAGGAGGAAGGAATGGGGATGATATTAAAGAGTTTTGAAATACCAAGTAAAGGGTAAAGAAGCTTACTGTGAATGGTCTCTTTCCTCAGTAAAATACAATTTGAGGTCCTCTGCAGTAAAGTTGAGGGAAGTGTAGGCAGCTAGGAGAGAAAAGAGAAGAGGTTTGTAACTGCTATTGTGATAACCTTGATCAAGT